TTCCACTCATTTTCTTGAAAAATAAATGTTTTATCCATAACATACTAAATAAGAATATCTAGCCTATCTTCTTTGTTAATAAATCAGAGGAGAAATAGTCAATATATCAAATACACCTCAAATAACAGGGGACAACTTCTACTAAATTGTGTTGCAAAATATTGACTGGCCTTGTCACCAGGTTCTGTAACAATACATGGAGTAGAATACCACAATTACTGAAATTATACATGTGACAAGCTATAGGACACAGCCATTCATCTTCCCTGGCCAAAAGACGGTGCCATTACAACACAGTTACTTACTGCCACAACTGGCACTCATTATTTACATATACAAAATGTATGCATGTATGTATGTATGTATGTATGTATATATGTTTACTTGTTTATTTTGTTTGTTTATTTAGATCACCATTACCTTTTGCAGAGGCAGCAGCTATTCTTCCTGGGGTCCACAAAAAAACACAAAACATTAGAACTAACAAAACATTGATAGACAAGGCCATTCACACAAATGTAAAATAAAACGATGTACAGCAATACAATAAATACAAATGTACGTACGGATGGATAGATGTGCATATATTATGAGTACATTATGCATATAGAATGCATCCAGTGACGTGTCAAACACCTGTCTTTGTAGCACAGATAGTACAAAATTAACGCCCTCCCTCTGCTATATCAATGACCTGTTCTGACACAACCTTCATCACCACAACCACCCTGTCTGTTAGTACCCAGACAGACACCGTCTATACAACAGAGAAACATGCTTCTTATATCCCTCCTCCTCCTGGCATTCCTGCAATATAAGTGGGGGGGGGGGGGGGGGGATTTTAGTCACTTTGAATACAGAACACAAGACATTTTGTTAGTCAGTTGTTTTGCGATTGTGTTAGTCAGTTGTTTTAATATTGTGTTAGTCAGTTGTTTTATCGTTGTGTTAGTCAGTTGTTTTACCATTGTGTTAGTCAGTTGTTTTGCTATTGTGATATCGTTTTTGATGAAGGCCTCTCATCTCTCTTTCTCTACACTCCCATCTCTTTCAGATATACATTTACATTTTACATTTACGTCATTTAGCAGACGCTCTTATCCAGAGTGACTTACAAATTGGTGCATTCACCTTATAGCCAGTGGGATAACCACTTTACAATATGTTTTTAATTTTTAATTTCTTTGGGGTGGGGTAAGGGGGGGTAGAAGGATTACTTTATCCTATCCCAGGTATTCCTTAAAGAGGTGGGGTTTCAAGTGTCTCCGGAAGATGGTGAGTGACTCCGCTGTCCTGGCGTCGTGAGGGAGCTTGTTCCACCATTGGGGTGCCAGAGCAGCGAACAGTTTTGACTGGGCTGAGCGGGAACTGTGCTTCCGCAGAGGTAGGGGGGCCAGCAGGCCAGAGGTGGATGAACGCAATGCCCTCGTTTGGGTGTAGGGACTGATCAGAGCCTGAAGGTACGGCGGTGCCGTTCCCCTCACAGCTCCGTAGGCAAGCACCATGGTCTTGTAGCAGATGCGAGCTTCAACTGGAAGCCAGTGGAGTGTGCGGAGAAACGGGGTGACGTGAGAGAACTTGGGAAGGTTGAACACCAGACGGGCTGCGGCATTCTGGATGAGTTGTAGGGGTTTAATGGCACAGGCAGGGAGCCCAGCCAACAGCGAGTTGCAGTAATCCAGACGGGAGATGACAAGTGCCTGGATTAGGACCTGTGCCACTTCCTGTGTAAGGCAGGGTCGTACTCTCCGAATGTTGTAGAGCATGAACCTACAGGATCGGGTCACCGCCTTGATGTTAGCGGAGAACGACAGGGTGTTGTCCAGGGTCACGCCAAGGCTCTTCGCACTCTGGGAGGAGGACACAACGGAGTTGTCAACCGTGATGGCGAGATCATGGAACAGGCAGTCCTTCCCCGGGAGGAAGAGCAGCTCCATCTTGTCGAGGTTCAGCTTGAGGTGGTGATCCGTCATCCACACTGATATGTCTGCCAGACATGCAGAGATGCGATTCGCCACCTGGTTATCAGAAGAGGGAAAGGAAAAGATTAGTTGTGTGTCGTCTGCATAGCAATGATAGGAGAGGCCGTGTGAGGATATGACAGAGCCAAGTGACTTGGTGTATAGCGAGAATAGGAGAGGGCCTAGAACTGAGCCCTGGGGGACACCAGTGGTGAGAGCACGTGGTGCGGAGACATATTCTCGCCACGCCACTTGGTAGGAGCGACCGGTCAGGTAGGACGCATTAGTTATACACAGCATTAATTTGACCTCCTCCCCTGCTCAACTCAAACCTCCTGGACAGTCAGTGAAACTATCTTGGCAAGTCTCTGGCTATGCCCTGACGGACTATGGTACAGGTTGGATATGACAGCAGCCATGGAAAACACTGGAGTGGACTGGGATCATCTGGGGTGGTGGATCCATCAACTCTGGAGCCACTTTTAAGAGCAGATTCACCATCTCCAGAGACAGTAGTAATGTACTGTACTTAGACATCACCAGTCTGCAGGCTGAGGACACAGCTGTGTATTATTGTGCAAAAACTGGAGGCACAGTGCAACAGCTCAATGGAAGACCTGTACAAAAACATCATACTAACATACAGCCTACTGTAAGAACAACAGAGTATGATAGAATGACAGCTTTAAGAGCTAAATGTTCAAAATCACAAACAGTGAAATTCAATATACAACAAATACACAGTAAATTGTTCTGTCGATTTTTCAGTGTGAAAGTTGCACAGTGTTGATTTCTAAACTATTTGACTCTAAATGGAACACTCTATGGTCATAAATGCACCACTCCCAGAGTTAAGTTAACCCTCATTAATGAAATAAGCCATTATTTTAATTTTTTTGTAAAGGGTAAACATTATGAGTCCTATGGCTGTTTTTGTAAACATTCTATAGAGTCCCTTCCCTATAATTGATATAATTGAAGTGTCAAAAGTCAATATGGTTCACAGAGTTTTCTGAAATGTTTGATTGAGAGGGCTAAGTTATTATGATATACTTTTTTAAATGTCCTATGGCTGTTTTTCTAAACATTCTATAGCATAGAGTTCCATCCCATAAGTGAAGCGTCAAAAGTCAATATGGTTCCCAGAGATTTCTGAAATTCCCAACCCTGTCATACTGTACCTGCCTTCTTATGCAAATTACCTATAGCTCCTCTCTTTCATCTCTCTTCCTCTGCCTTATATAAACAGTCTCTCTGTGTGAATCACATATCTCTCTCTGAGTCCTGGAGAGTAAAGAAGGTAAACTTCAGCTTCAACACAAACCATGTTCCATGCATCCCTGCTGCTGCTGGCAGCTGCCTCCTGTGAGTCCCTCTGGATTTAAAGCAAGTTTATGATTAATAAATTGGCCCATTAGGTTAATGATTTTGTTTTGACAACATGTGTGCTTTCTTTCAACAGGTGTTCAGGGTCAGACATTGACTGAGTCTGGACCAGTAGTTAAAACGCCTGGAGAATCACACAAACTGACCTGTACAGCTTCTGGGTTCACATTCAAGGACTACTGGATGGGTTGGATAAAACTGGCTCCTGGGCAAGGACTGGAATGGATTGGTTGTATACATGGTACTACTGCTTACTACTTCCAGTCAGTCCAGGGTAGATTCACCCTCTCCAGAGACGACTCCAGCAGTAAGCTGTACCTTCAGATGAACAGCCTGAAGAGTGAGGACACAGCAGTGTATTACTGTGCCCGATGCACACAGTGAGAGAGAGCGGTGGGAGAGCTGTACAAAATCCACTTCCCCATTCAGCACAAGCGATCTCAGTTCAAAAGTTTTGAGCACAAAATGGTCAGCCATGGATATACACTTTCCATAATCCCTTGTTGGATATTAGGAATAGAAAAATGCAAGCACATATCGATATCATGTTATTCCCATAGGGTGTTTTTCCTAACCGTATTAAAGAGTTCCTTCTCCTATAAGAGTAGGTTCACTACATACAGATCCTATTAAATCACTAGAGGGGTTATATCAGATATCCTAAAAGTTCCATAATGGGGAGAAAATGGCAACCTTCTTGGTCAGGGAGAAATCCAAAACCAGTCTAATTGGAATGAATGGCAGTAGAGGCATAGGTGATGCATTTTCTGCTTTTACTTATGCAGGAAAATAAAAGTAAGGCATGTGATGTATCATAAATTGTGTAATGGAATTATAGTCAACCTAAAATATTGTCATATTATCATAAATACAGTTTATATGGGGTTTATACCAACTGTCTGTATAAATAGCCTCTAAAAATATATATAAACAGAACATAAATGTCTCAGTTTTTGTTTTCTTGGAAAGCTGTGAGTGCTATTATATGATACAATATCAGTAGTTGTTGCATTTCCAACTTGTCTAAATCCTATCATTAACTGATTTGAGCCAGTGTATGGCTGTGGATTGACAGCAATGTTTGAATGGAATGTTGGCATATTGGCAGTTAATTTGAAAAATTAATGAAATCCTTCCTCTAAAACTGGCTGGTTCCAAGCTAACACACATACAGTGCAGATAAATTATTCACATTCATTGTTTTACAAAATATCTTATCACAGCACTGGCAAAACAAAGTTGACAAAGTCCTTGACCAACATGGCTAACCTGTGGCCCATCATCAGAAGGTCAATGTCCATTCAAGTATTCTAAATCCTAATGCTATGCTATGGTTCACTACCTCTCTGTATAGTTCTCTGTATAACAAAATATACAGGGGCCTTCTCACAATTCATTGTTGTGATACATATTGGAAAACTGTATGAAACATAGTATCAGTCAAAAGCCTCTAATCTAATATTATCCACCACCAATCATTTACAAGAGTAATATATTCAAGTGTTACTGTCAAAGCTTTTTTATTATAATTTGTTTATTCCCACTTTCATACCGTATGTGTTTCCTTTCCTTATGCAAATGTTCACCTCTATTCCTTTCACTCCCTCTCCCTTATAAACAGCCTCACTCTGTCTGTTGGTCCTAGTAAGTGACGTCTCTGGAGAGTAGAGAAGAGCAGCTCCCTCCAGTTCAGCTTCAACATAAACCATGTTCCCTGCATCTCTGCTGCTGCTGCTGGCTGCTGCCTCCTGTGAGTCTCTGAATTTGGGGGGAACAACAAAATAATTAGTGATGGCTTTAGTTTTGTTAAAACTCTATGATGCTATTGGGCGGCGCACAATTGGCCTAGCGTCGTCCAGGGTAGGGGAGGGAATGGCCGGCAGGGATGTAGCTCAGTTGATAGAGCATGGTGTTTGCAACGCCAGGGTTGTGGGTTCAATTCCCACGGGGGACCAGTATGAAAAAAAAAAAAAAGGTATTCACTAACTGTAAGTCGCTCTGGATAAGAGCGGCTGCTAAATGACTAAAATGTAAATGTCTATTGCAATGGGTAATGTTTTAAATGCTTTGTCCACAGGTGTTCACTGTGAAGAGCTCACTCAGCCAGCCTCTATAACTGTCCAGCCAGGTAAACCACTGACAATCTCCTGTAAGGTTTCGTACTCTGTAGGTAGCTATTACACAGCTTGGATTCGACAACCTGCAGGGAAAACACTGGAGTGGATTGGAAGCATAATTACTGGAGACACTTCCTACAAAGACTCCCTGAAGAACAAGTTCAGCCTCACTTTAGACTCCTCCAGCAACACTGTGACTTTAACAGGACAGAACCTACAGACTGAAGACACAGCTGTGTATTATTGTGCCCGAGACTCACAGTGATACAAACCAGGGCCAGACATGTACAAAAACTCACTCATCCCTTAATCAGCTGGAGTTATATGTATCAATCAGGAGGGGGCGATATTAACCTTCTTAATAAACACAAGTCAAATCATTCCTTATTGGATTACTTTTAAATTAAAAAAGGATGTTTACAAAACAATACATTGTGGCACCTTTCTGTTTTCTCAATGACATTAAATTAATGATTGAAAAAAACACGCAAGTTGAAGTTTGTTCCACCTGAGTGAGTCTAACCACAAGTCAGAGACCACTATGATGACACACCAAATGTGTTTGATGGATCCTTTTTGTCTTCTTCTAATACCTCTTAAGGGGAAAGTAATGCTTAAGTAACTGAAAGTAATCAGATTACGTTACTGAGTTTGGGTAATGCAAAAGTTACATTACTGATTACAATTTTGGGCAGGTGACTCGTAACTGTAACGGATTCCATTTAGAAAGTAACCTACCCAACCTTGTCTGTCATTGTAAAGCTCCAACCTGTTATTTCTCCATAATATAATATATATTGAAAAGTTCCAAACTGTGGACATGGACCCTCTCATTAAGACATGATACGAGCTTCAGTATGCCCACCTCTACAGTATACCCCCTCTCCTCTCCCCCTCCATCTCTCTACCTCAATGCAAACCCTCCCGTCTTTCCCTACTTAAACAGTGTCTGTCTGTCCTAGTTGGAGAGTAGAGAAGAGCAGCTTCAACACAAACCATGCTCCCTGCATCTCTGATGCTGCTGGGGGGTCGGGGGACACTGTACTTAGTTACTGGCACTTGGACAGCTTGGATTCGACAGTATGGAGGGAAAACACTGGAGTGGATTGGAATTAAATATACTGGAGGCACGCACCACAAAGACTTCAGCCTCACAGTAGACTCCTCCAGCAATACAGTGATTTTAACAGGGCAGAGTCTGCAGACTGAAGACACAGCTGTGTATTACTGTGCTCGTCTCCAGAGTGATACAAACCAACACTAGACCTGTACTAAATCTCCCTCCTAACTTGTACAGTTGAAGTGAAATGTATCTACACAGGAGGGGGCGATCTGAGTCTGAATCTCAAACCTCCCATGACTACATGAAGTTTGTTCATGAGATAACATATGATAAGCATGGTATATAAAACAAGAAAACAAGAAACACAAACCTCCACTTCATTATCATATAACCTCAGAAACAGTCACAGCGGAAAACAGCTTATTGAAGGTGATTGTCAACTTACATTTACTGTAACTGAAATAAACTTATCCACATGAAAGGTATATATCCTGAACAAAAATATAAACGCAACATACAACAATTGCAAAGATTTTACTGAGTTACAGTTCATATAAAGAAATCAGTCAATTTCAATAAATTCATTAGGCAATAATGTATGGATTTCACATGACTGGGAATACAGACATGCATCTGTTGGTCACAGATACTGTACCTTACAAAAAAGGTAGCGGCGTGAATCAGATAACCAGTCAGTATCTGGTGTGACCACCATTTGCCTCATGCAGCACGTCACATCTCCTTCTTGATTAAGCTGTTGATTGTGGCCTGTGGAATGTTGTCCCACTCCTCTTCAATGGCTGTGAGAATTTGCTGGATATTGGGCGGAACTGGAACACGCTGTCGTACACGTAGATCCAGAGCATCTCAAACATGCTCAACGGCTGACATATCTGGGGAGTATGCAGGCCATTGAAGAACTGGGACATTTTCAGCAAAGATTTGTTTCATTGCTCTATCTGTATTTTCAGCTTGCAGGAATTCTGTACAGATTGGGCCGTGCATTATCATTCTGAAACATGAGGTGATGGCGGCGGATGAATGGTACGACAATGGGCCACAGGATCTCGTCACGGAATCTCTGTGCATTCAAATTGCCGTCGATAAAATGCAATTGTGTTCGTTGTCAGTAGATTACTACATCATTCCAAATGTGTTATTTCATAGTTTTGATGTCTTCACTATTATTCTACAATGTAAAAAATAGTAAAAATAAAGAAAAACCCTTGAATCAGTAGGTGTGTCCAAACTTTTGACTTGTAGTGTATGTACACATTAAAATACAAAAACACAGACATGGGAAGCACAAATCAAACATCACAAATCACCCAGAAAAACAGTTACATTCCTCAACCAATAAGTCCCTAATTAATTATTTCAATTGCCCAAAAGTACACCAGAACATCAAGACGAAATCTATTTTGAATTTTGTTCCAGCAATACGTTGCATTAATACTAAAACAGAATACATCCTCCCGAGTGGCGTAGCGTTCTAAGGCACTGCATCGCAGTGCTAGAGGCGTCACTACAGACCTGGGTTCGATCCCAGGCTGTATCACAACCGGCCGTGATCGGGAATCCCATAGGGCAGTGCACAATTGGCCCAGCGTCATCCGGGTTAGGGGAGGCTGTGGAAGGGGGGGCTTTACTTGGCTCATCGCGCTCTAGCAACTCCTTGTGGCGGGCCGGGTGACTGCAGGCTGTCGTCAGTTGAATGGTGTTTCCTCCGACACATTGGTGTGGCTGGCCTCATGGTTAAGCTGGCGGGTGTTAAGAAGCGTGGTTTGACGGGTCATGTTTCGGAGGATGCATTACTCAACCTTTGCCTGTGGTGGAGTTGCAGCGATGAGACAACATCGAAATTGTGGAGAAAAAGGGGGTTAAAAAAATTAAAGTAGAATACATAACTCATTACCAGATCAGATCCAAGATCCAGATCCAAGATGGCGTAGTAGTGCAGTTGTGTTTTTGTCGTATGTCTGTAAATAGCCTGTAAATACCCTATTTTTCTGTATTTTTCGTACATATTTCCCTATCAGACTTTTCATCCTTCTACAAAATATACTTTCCTGCAACCAGCCTCACTCAATGTGGAACGGATTCTATTATTGACTTACCTTTATCTAGAATCTAGAATCTCCAGTTGAAACTAGCTAGCCAGCTAACTAGCTACTTGCTATTAGCCACAGCTAGCGGTATTTCACCCAGAACATTGGATTTTTTTTCTGTGGGATTCATTTTAATCACTGGACATTAATCACCGGATATTCGGCCAGTCTGCACAGCGCGTTATCGACCCAGAACATATCAGTTTTTCCGCCGGAATCACTGAATCACTGGACCTTTAACTCCGGATTCATCGCTACCAGCTAGCTACAACAAAACGGACGCTGTGGTCTGGCTAATCATCCTGAGCTAGGCCCATCTCCCGGCTATCTACCTCTCTGTCAACCGGACGGGACCACCTAGTGTTGACACAGAGCCCCGCCGATCCTACACGACTGGTCTGCCGACGAAATCGTCTGATGTGGTTACGACGTTAACCACGAAGATTCCATCCATCTGCTAGCCCCGGCCCGCTAGCACACTCTAGCCGTGGCCTCTTACTCACTAGTGCTTTACCACCGGACCTTATGATAACTCAGCTATACAGCTGATGTCTGCTGGACTGTTCCTTTTTACGGTACTACATCCTGTTTATGTTTAGCCTCAGCCCAAACATGGTTAGTTTATTGTTGTTTCGGTTATTTATAATTGTGCTATATCACTGTAGACCCCCCAGCCTAGCTAAACCTGCCTTAGATAGCTCCTTTGCCCCTCCCCCAATACACGCGGAGACCGACTCAATTGATGCCTCCAGCGATGCTATCTCTTTCATTGTTACCCAACGCTTAGGTTTACCTCCACTTTACTCATATCCTTCCATATCCTTGTCTGTACATAATGCCCTGAATCTTTTCTATAACACCCGGAAATCTGCCCCCTTTATTCTATGTACCCAACGCACTAGAAGACCAGTTCTTAAAGCCTTTAGCCGTATCCTTATTCTAGTCCTCCTCTGTTCCTCTGGTGATGTAGAGGCTAACCCAGGCCCTGCAGCCCTCAGTATCACTCCTACTCCCCAGGCGCTATCATTTGCTGACTTCTGTAATCGCAAAAGTCTTGGTTTCTTGCACATAAATATCAGAAGTCTACTTCCTAAGTTTGAGTTATTCACTGCGTTAGCACACTCTGCCAACCCTGATGTTCTAGCAGTGTCTGAATCCTGGCTCAGGAAGGCCACCAAAAATTCTGAAATTTCCATCCCCAACTATAACATTTTCCGTCTAGATAGAACTGCCAAAGGGGGTGGAGTTGCAATCTACTGTAGAGATAGCCTGCAGAGCTCTATCATACTATCCAGGTCTGTGCCCAAACAGTTTGAGCTTCTACTTCTAAAAATCCACCTTTCCAGAAATAAGTCTCTCACTGTTGCCGCTTGCTACAGACCCCCCTCAGCCCCCAGCTGTGCCCTGGACACCATATGTGAATTGATTGCCCCCCATTTATCCTCAGAGTTTGTACTGCTTGGTGACCTAAATTGGGATATGCTTAATACCCCAGCCATCCTACAATCCAAGCTAGATGCCCTCAACCTCACGCAAATTATCAACGAACCTACCAGGTACAACCCTAAATCCGTAAACATGGGTACCCTCATAGATATCATCCTGACTAACATACCCTCTAAATACACCTCAGCTGTCCACTAACCCGGCCACCACTAACCCGGCCACCAACTCCATCCTGCCCTGCCTTTCGAAAGTATTTGAAAGCCAAGTTAACAAACAGATCACCGACCATTTCGAATACCACCGTACCTTCTCCGCTATGCAATCCGGTTTCCGAGCTGGTCATGGGTGCACTTCAGCCACGTTCAAGGTCCTAAACGATATTATAACCGCGATTGATAATAGACAGTACTGTGCAGCCGTCTTCATCGACCTGGCCAAGGCTTTCGACTCTGTCAACCACCGCATTCTTATTGGCAGACTAAATAGCCTTGGTTTCTCAAATGACTGCCTCGCCTGGTTCACCAACTACTTCTCAGATAGAGTTCAGTGTGTCAAATCGGAGGGCCTGTTGTCTGGACCTATGGCAGTCTCTATGGGGGTGCCACAGGGTTCAATTCTTGGGCCGACACTTTTCTCCGTGTATATCAA